TTTCAACCAAGTCGGCATGCTCCCGCCTCAGGATCGATGCTTCTTTCTGAGCCCTATCCAGCTCGGCCTGAAGGTCCTTAATGACCCTGTTTTGTTGCTCGATGAGGAGCTTGTACGTATCCCTTTTCTAAGCCTGCTCCTTGAGCTCAAGCAGGTTGACCTCGATGCGGTACTAGAGAAAGCTTTCATGATGAAGTGCCGAGGCCTGTAAAATAATAAAAATCGTGAGAAATATCCAAACTTAAGTAAAGTTCAAAGGAACGTAATGATGCCTTATCCGGTTCAGCGCCTGCTGCGCTTAATTGAAAAGGCACGACACATTCACCTAGTTCATGTTTGCCTGGTCCTCCTCGATCACCAGACATCGGAGGTAACTAGCTACGCCCACAGGAGAAGATAGAATCAGTGCATCCTCCGGGACAATAAGAATAATCGATCTCTTACGATCAGGGTCCACACTCGGAGCGGGAGATTGATTAATCAATCCTGGGCTCAAACTCGGCCCACCAGCTTCAAAAGATGTATCCTTCTTCAGGATCTCCAGGTCACCCAGCCCGAAAAAATCTTCTAAAGTGGACGAGTCCACACCATCAAAAAAGGAATGAAGGGGATTGTCTGTGCTATGGATCCCTTCATTGGACTTCTCCTTTCCTACTTAGGCCTCCTCGAGCATGGACTCGGTGTAGCAGGGCGTCCCCATAATTTCTATTATACCGTGCGCTTCCTTCGGAGTGGATCCGGTGTCCCGGGGGTCCCATCCCGGTCTCCATATCGACCTCTCGAGTTTAAAGGAGGTCGACCTCACGAGTCTCCCCCTCGGTTGCCTCCTCGGCGAAAGGTCAATCCGTGGGCGATGAAAATGTCTTCTTCTTCCGGCTCATCCCTGAGCCGGAGAAGAGAATTGGAGTCTAGCATCCAAGAGCTGGTGCTCTTCCTCGGCTTGCGAGCCACCCTCTTCTTTAGGTTCGCCTCAGGGCCCAGGGATCCCAAAGGTTTTCTTTTCCTTTTCTTATTTTCCCCCACGGCAACCCTGAAATGTCCCGCAACGGAGGGATCAACGAACAAGGATACGTCTTCGTCCCCTTCCAAAGGCCTAAGCTCGGTGGTCTTAGGCAAACCTATAAAGGAAAAGAAGAGAAGTCAGTATGCTATGAGCTAAGGACACGATAACAATTATTTGGAGGGGAAACTTACCATGAGAATGGGTCTCCCATCGGCCCATCGACAACTTGCACCATGAGCGCTCGAAGTATGACATCTGGTTGCAGATGCCTTTAATCCACTCCTTAAGCCGGGGAACCGCATTTGGAACCCGTACAACGTTGTACAATCACAAAAGTGAATGAAAGGAAAGAAAATAAAAGAGAATTAACGCTTAAAGAGAGGCTGTACTTACGAGATGCATTCCACTTTTCAGGGAATGGCATGAACTCGGGAGGGATCAAATCTTCGGTCCTCACCCAAACGAAGTATCGCTGCCAGCCCTAGTCTCGGCCTTCATCAATGCTCAAAAAAGGGGCCTTGCTGTCCCGACGAGTAAGCTTGATTAGTCCCTCTCGAAAAATTCGGGGACTGTATAAATGAAGTAGATGAATAATGATGAACCGACGAGATTCTGTCTTATTCGCGAAGTAACGAAGGAGGATCGGGATCCTCCATAGAGACGAGTGGATTTGCTCCAGGCACACCTCGTACCTCTTGCAAAAATTCAAAATAATCGGGTCCAACGGGCCCAGCATGAATGGGTAAGTGTAAACACTTAAGTACCCCCCCTCCCCACTTGGGTAGTAATAGTGTCCTCGGGCTCGGGGACTACCACGCCCTTACCTACCCAATTACAGTCTTCTCGGACCACGGGAAGGACGTCTTCGGTTATGGAGCATATGTACATTGATGCTCCTTTACCCCAGTTGTGCTTGGACGGAGGTTTCTCAACCTTGAAGCCATCCGCAATGGAACAACCCCCGGGAATAAACACTTTCAAATGGGGTTTGGGAGCCGGTTCGGTGGCTGCTATGTCAGGAGCAGCCGCCTCGATGAGGACTATTTCGGGATTGACCGCCTCAGTACCAGCGGATGGTTGGGAAGATGAAGAGGCAGCCTGTTGGGGAAATGATTTGAAAGTTTTAGCCATTGTTGGCTGGTAAAATTTGAAGATTTGAAGAAGGGGTATGGAGGTTTGGAAGAACATGTTTAAAGGCTAAACAGCGGGATATGAAGAATTTAAGAAGATCTAGGCAAGAATCTAAGAACAATTATGAAGATTTGAAGATCAAAAGATGAAGGTATGAAGGTTTGAAAGAAGTTGATGATAGCTGGGAAGCTCGAAGGTAAAAGCTTGGTCAAAAAGTAGAAAAATAACAAAGGATGGAAGCTTTTATAGGAAAGTAGGCGACGCTTCGCATTCGGAGGCAACCAGCCGTTGGTTGACATGCGTCTGAAGTCAGAATGAAGCGACTGATGGGACGTTTCGACTCCTTCGTCGTAACGTACGGAGGAAGGAACCAAAGAACATCTATCGTTTACCATCGTTTTGACAAACCTACTCTCAGAAAAACGAGGGGACTATTTGTATATGGGTAAAATCGAGGCTAGTAAGTACCCCATATCCCGGAATGGCAAACGAAGCAAGGACATAACTGCAAGGGATCAGAATCGAAGCCAGGAGCCTCTCGCATCAAGGCCCGAGCAAAACACATGCCCTCAGAGCCATTGAGACCACGCCCCTGGGTCCGGTTCGAGTTCCGAGACCTCGGAGAGCATTATCGAACGACCATGCACGATTAACAAAGGGTCGTGATATCCGTGTCCAATCGGATATTACGGCGTGAATCCCGCCCCGTATCAACGGTAGATCAGTGATTAGCGAAAAGAAAGATTTTTACCTTTCTTAGAATTGTACCTTTCTCAAAGAGGTCTGTGTAATTTGAATTATTACCGCTTATTATAGACAGCTACCTACGAATTATTGCTAAGTTATTGTAAGAAATGAACACAATGAAGTCCTACCTTTTTAAATTTTCAGAGTAAATAGTTACTGATTACCTTTGGTTGAGCTCGTCTTTTCAGACTGAAATTTCAATATATGTTTTGAAAGTTTGATGGGTCGGTGCTGGAGCATATTACTGTGAACAATAATGAGACCATTCGGTAAAGTTTGTTGACGGAAAATGTATGTAATTACGAAGAAAAAAAGTTGTACGTAATAACGTAATTACATCTATAGTGTAATTTTCTTTTAGCATTGGCAGTGATTATTATAACTTAAATACCAAGCGAAAACATACATCTAGTCATTTCACAAGGTTTAGCAGGGAACTCACGTTTTGTTTTGTTTTATCTTTCAAGGGATCTCATGATTAGCAAGAAACTAAAAGATGGGAAGTTTCTAATTTGTGACTGCCAAGCATTTAGAGGAAAGAAGGATCAAAGAAGGACCGTAATAATTTCTGAGTTGTGTCCAAAATTCACGTTAGTCATTGTTCAACTTCTTCACTCCATGATTTAGCCAAAGTGTGATCAGAGTGTCCATAAATGACGAAATTTCGTCCTTTAGCAGAATGTGAGGTATGAGGAAAGAGCGATGCAGCTTCCACCAAATAGACCTCTGCTGGAATATTAGTGTCAAAAATTGTATGAGAGACGCATGGAAATGACATACTTTTGCTGGAATATTGCTGGCTACCAGTTATGCCATAGAGGCACACGCCATAGAAAATAAAAAGTATTACTATTCAGACTTAAAACCTTAAAACAAGGATTAGCTTGCTTCAACAATTAATGACAAATGTGAAATAGCCGAAAAATCCCTTTTTCTTGAAGAAAAAAAACGACCAGAATTTTGGATTGGTCTTAGGATATTAAAATTTAAAGAAACTACCTACATACATTAGAGCTTATAAATAGTCCTATCATTGTTTTTCTACCTAGAAGTATTAACCTAAATAGCCGCTCACCCAATCACTTAAATAAAAAAATAACCAGTCGAAGTACAATATATTCATAATTTATGTATTATATGTGTATAATTATGTAGAATCAATGTATAATCTATCTACATGGCTAAAAAAATTAACAATGAATACTGCCGGCTATTTGTGTACAGATCCCTTCTACTTACCCCTGTCGTTTTTACCGTGTTTGCTCAAACACCCAAAAGTTATTTATTTTGATAAGGATTACCCACCCTAAATAAGGATTACTTACAAATTATATACAATCCATTATTAGTGCCTTAAATTAGGGAATTTAGTTACATTCTTTCCCTTTTCTCTCTCCACTCCTCTTTCCTCATTGCCGCCTCTCTCATCAGTTTTTCTTTCTTTCTTCATCACTCTCTCTCACCGCCTTTCTCTCTCAATAAGGTAAGCCTAAAAGTTGTCTTCTGCCAATCAACCTATTGAAGTAGCCTCTAGTTTGTCACTGATTTGTCCTTTCTCTTTTACATTGCTACCCACTAAATATGGAACTTTAACAGTGCAAGAATGTTATTGAATTCAAACTTATGACACTTCGATTTGTATTGTGCTCTCTTGAAAATCGGATTATCCTGCAGTTTGATAGTCTTTTTCAAGAGATGAATTCAGCACCTAGTAAGAAGGTCATAGGAATTGAAGATTCGAACACTAATCTATCATAAAGCTTTGAATTCGAATCTGGGTTTTCAAAAATCATTATTTGTTTGGATTAGGTGTTGTTGCAAACAATTGGGAATATTGTTTGGAGTTTGTATCTCAATTTTGAGGGTGTTTGGTGAAGATTAGACTTGGTTTTGGCTGAATTTCAGATTGAAACTCGAAGAACACATGGCATACAATATACTTACGAATTTGTAGTAAAGTTGTAGTATAATTGTATGTAAATTGTATTCTGTTATAGTTATATATATTATATTATTTGAATGTTGTATGAAAGTTGAAAAATAGTTGTATAAAGTATGAATCGTCGTATGAAATTTATATTTCCTCCGAACACTATTTTGTAAGATTCTAAAAGAGAACTCATATGTACATCACATCATCTTTTATGCTGAATTCCCCCGACATAAATTCCTCAAATCCATTTGCAGAGATAGATTCCTCAAACTGGAGTTGGGGTTGAAAAATATCATCTACTATCCCACTGTTAACTTCTTGATTTATGCCATTCACATAGCCGATGCCATTCATTGGCAAATTGTGCATGAATTTGTCTTGCAACTCTGAATTATTATAGCCAAAGTTATTATTGGAAGGATCAAAGTTGCGTGAGTTTTGAAAGTCTTGCCCATTAAATCGATCTAACGAAAGCCATTCCGCGAATAATACTTTGGGTAAATTACTCTTTTGAGGCTCTCTTGGAATGTCCACCTGTGAAGCAGATTGATCTGAATCAGCCAATGAGTAATTTGTATTTAAGTTACATACAATACAATTATATTCGTACAAATTTAATACCAATTGGTATATCTACAACAACATACATACTAAAAATAAATTTTATACAACTCATTATATAGTATACACTTATTTACAGCTTATCTACAACTTTCATACATTATTTTTACCCAGTTAAAATACATCTACAACATCATATAACTTAAATATAATTTTCATACAAATTTTATACAATATGTCTTTTGTATATTTTGTATCTGATTTGTATATATTTTATATGTTGTGTGTGTTTCTTCCTCTCTAAAATTCCAATCAAAACTTTCTCTCTTAATATATTGTATGTCATGTCATGTCGTCTTCTTCTTCTTCTTCTTCTTCTTCTTCTTCTTCTTCTTCTTCTTCTTCTTCGAGTTTCAATCTGAAATTCAACTAAAACCAAGTCTAATTTTTACCAAACTCCCTCAAAATTGAGATATAAACTCCAAATAATATTTTTAATTATTTACAACAACACCCAATCCAAACAAATAATAGTTTTTAAAAACCCAAATTCGAATTCAAAGCTTCAAAGCTTTTTATTGGTTGTCAATGGTGGAGAGTCAAACACTTTCAAAATGTATTGATTGACAATTTCAATTTGAACACCAATTGTGCAACATGAAAGGAAATTGCTAAGTTAAAACTCTATAGTAAAACGATTGAAATCCATTGATGAATTTCATTAAAAATATATACAACATGAAAGGATAAAAAATAGAGAACATCAGAGGAAGAAAAATTGGGGAAAGAACAGAGAATGAGAGATTGAGAGACATAGAGAGACGGAGAGAGAGAGAGAGAGAGAGAACGCGCAGGAGAGAGAGAGCGCACAGGAGGGAAAGAGAATAATGATGGGAAATAATTGATTCCTTATTCAATTTCTAACATAAAGGAATACTCATTTAATTTTTAAAATATATATAATTGATAAATTATATATGCTTATATAATTAATTTGAAACTTGAGTAGGGAGGGTAATAAAGTTTCAAATAGTTTATAGGAAGGTAAAAATCCTAGATTATATTATTGAGAATGATCAAAATAATGGGCTTATGGGCCTAAGGTCCCGTTACACAACAGCCCAATAAAAGGGCAATGACGGTTGCAGTTGACCGTCTCCAGGTATAACTGAAATTAGAGACGAAATACGTAAGAACTTTGGGAGAGAGGGTGAAAAGCCCTAGAATCATCTTTGTTGGGATCAGTACTTGTTCAATACTAATTGAAGGGATCGAATTACCGCTTTTTATCTTCGATCCATTAATTGCCTCCGAATCCCCCTTGCTTTTCTTCAGAATCGGTACGTTGATAAATCCTCGGTGTCTTCCTTTCATATTATGCAATTTGCATGTCATGTGATTTTTTCTGATCTAATCTGCTTTTATTGTAAATCGAGAACCTTTTCTTCTTTTTTGATAGAAATATTTATTATTTGTCAGATTCAGGATGGTGGATAATTGTAGCTTTTACCTTGTTGTTACATATGTTATTGAGGCGTTAAAAGGCAAATAATTTTCCAGTATTGGAATGAATTGGGCGCGAATTTAATGGAATTGTAATAGAAGATTGATATGGCCAATTTCAACTAGTTTGAGACTAAGGCGTAGTTATTGTTGTGTTGTTGTGACGTAGGGTTTGATCAGATTTGAGGTTTTTGTTTTATTGGGGGTTTCATCTTTATATTCTGCGCGTAGTTTTCCTTTGAGAAAGATGTTTGGCATAGGCAAATCAGTTAGATCTGCCATATTAGGATGGGGCTCTTTCATGCTTTGAATTGTTTTTGGTATAGCATGAAATATTTATCATTAGAATAATTTTCTGCCTAGAATGTTGTATCTTGGGAATATCACTTTATAATGTTTGGTTGGGCAGAGTATGCTTCAATATGGCAATGGCACAATGTGGAAGGTAGGATATGTGGATAGTATATTGGTGATATTTTACCGTACTAAAGGTTGACATCACTTTAGGTTTTAGTCTAAGCAAATCATACTGTGTAAGAATTAAGATGTTTTTTTATATGAAAATAATGTGATGGAAGTCATTTTCCCCTTTGTTGTGGTTAATACTTTACTTGCGATAGAACATTTTAAACTATTCAATTTAATCAAGTTTTAGTGATATTATTTTCTGCCCAGCCAAACAAACTTATTGAGGTGTACTTGAATGAACTTGATTTTGTATTCATCTTAACATCTGACATTTATTCTTTTTGGCGAAGCCCTTAATACTCGTAATTGACAGGTTAAGGTTTTGAAGTTTCAGAATACAGATATATCTGAGTGAGATGCAAGACTCATCTACCAGGGCATTTGAAAGCTCTTCTTCTTCCTCTGGGGATGGGAGCAATGATGCTGGTGATTTTGAATGCAATATCTGTTTTGAATTGGCGCAAGATCCCATTGTGACACTCTGTGGTCACCTCTACTGTTGGCCATGCCTTTATAGATGGCTACGTCTTCACTCACAATCCCATGAATGCCCTGTTTGTAAGGCCCTTATTCAGGAGGAGAAATTAGTTCCTCTTTATGGCAGAGGAAGGACTTCTACTGATCCCAGATCGAAACCAATCTCCGGCCTTGAAATTCCTAATAGGCCTGCAGGACAACGACCTGAAACAGCTCCTCAACCTCAATCAAATAATATTCCTAATCTTGGATTTGGTCATATGGGAGGATTTTTTCCAACAGCAACTGCAAGATTTGGTAACTTTACAATGTCGGCTGGTTTTGGTGGATTGTTCCCTTCGTTACTCAGCTTCCAGTTTCATGGATTCCCTGGCCCGACAGCGTATCCTACCACATCAAATTACCCATTTGGATATACTCCTGCATATCATGGGCCACATGTTCGTAACGCTCAAGACACAACCCAAGTACAGGCAGATAGCAATATTAAGTTTATGTTCTTACTTGTTGGTTTTCTTGTGCTCATTTATTTGTTGGGCTAAAGAATGGACTCAGTCCATGCCTGATGCTAACTGTGGCTGTCAGATTTTGTGCATGTGGATATGTCAATTTTGCACTCTCTATGAAGTTTCTACTCAAATATTACTTTGGTGATATGTAGATGCTGGGCACTTTGTTAATTTCAAGTAAACAGTTTATCTCTGTGTGAAATGTGTATATTTTGAATTCGCAAGGTGCTTCTAGCATGTTTTTCCCCTCCCCCTTGTAAGAATACCAATGAGACACATGGTCTTGTTGGCAGTTGATGATCTTCAGTTATGTGCTTATTAGTTGGCTAGTTTTCTTCTTTTGTTTTTGAAGTTTGGCTGTTCATGCTAGCTAGCCAAGCATAGCTACCTTTAGTTAACACTGGAATTTTGCTGGAGGTGTACTGTGATTCTTCGTTACTAGTCTAAGATCATTCTCCAATCCCACTTTACCCAAAAGAAAAGAGGATTTATAGTGAGATAGTGGAATAGACAATGTGGCTTCTTGTGTTTTGTGTTGAATTTGATTGTAGTCACATTGTCTTTGAAAGATGATAAAATGGCCTTTGTAATGAGCTGCTTTTTCTTTAATAATGGTGGGCTGGCGTCCTATCAGGAGGCACTACCTTCAGTCTAATTTGCTTACAGAAGTCGGGACTATTTTGAGATTTTTCCATGCGTTGAAATATTTTTTCACCAAAAGAGAAGCACGTCCTTTCACTTATTACCCTAATATTGATGCTATTATGGTTGAAATTTAATTGCAAAAGCAAAACCAAAGCATTATCACTATACCCTATTTCGCACTGTTATATTACCATATGCCACTTATCTTTACGCAAACTAGAAATAATATAAAAGATTTTTCTAAATAGAACAAATTTTCGTATGAAATATCTTCTTTTTGTTGTATCAAACTCAGCGTGCTGCTTATCTTGTTGCTTCTCCATTTTTCTGTAGCTCGCAGTTGATCTTCATGAGTTAACAACACGTGGTTAAACTAGAGTTGCTCTTTTAACGAAAAGATCTTACATATACATGTTCCTTGAGATATGATGGTGCTGCGTTGCGTGGAGACATATACACGTTCCTTGAGAATGTAGCCTATACTCTGTGTTAAAATTTCTGTATTTTCTTCAAAATTTTGACCTCTACTTGGTCAAAACAATTATGAGCCCAAAGTTCTTTTCTTGACGAAAAAAGGATTGCACAAAGAAGGAAATTTATGGACAAGATATAGATTTCGTTCTTCTAACGAAATATTTTACGATGCGACTCGTGAGAATCAATAGACCCTTATCATAAATTGCTCCAATTAATGGAAGGTATCCTGATAATGACAAAGTTCTTGATGGATAAGCAGCTAGAAAGATGGATGAAATAGTCCTTTCTGTTGGAAGATTTAAAAGCTTAAAGCATGAGCATGTGAAAGAGCACATGGGAATCCATCATTTATTCATCGTTTAGGGTCCTGTCCAATTAATGAAGCAACTGTTATACCATACTGATTGTTTCTTATGCGTTCACCATACCTTAAGCAACATGGATCTACATCAACTTAAGCCAATGGTTCTTAAGTTCCCTAATTAATGACGGAGTACTCTTCTATTGATAAAAAATTTCTCATTTTTTGATTGCTTTTCTCTTATACTTCACTTAGGAACTCGTTAATTTTACCAATAAAAAGCAAGTTCTCAGCTTACCGCAATTAAGGGCAAGCATCTTGTTAATAAAGAGCAGCATATCTCATTAGTGGATCACATGGGGTCATTAAGGAAGAGAAGTCCCTATTAAGAGTTACTTTTTGCTACTAGTAGTTTCCACTTCCCTTGTAAGATGATCTTTCCCTGTTGCAATCGACCCTCCATATGCGAACTTACAATTAGTGCCGTTTCAGTTGAGAAAAAGTAAATAGAGGGGACAAATAAAAACAAGAAATAGGGCGATGATAGATTTTTTGAAAGGGAAATGGTATCACAAGTAGGCCCATCTGCATTTACACCTGTAGGGAATTTCAGTAGGGATTTGACTAATGCTTCAATAGCTAAAGAAAGGAGTAGGTTTCCAAATTAAATGGCCTGTCGATATAGAAATTGCACAACAGTACAAGTCAAATGGAAACCTTTCGAACTAAGAAGCTAACGTTTGTAATTCGTTTCATTGAGAGTTATTCTCCTTTAGGACTTTCTACCAACCAGCTAAAGAGCAGTATAACTAAGAAGTAAATGACATTTTCATCTGCAACATGTTTTTGCACTATTCAAAGCATATCTGTTTTATTTGGATATATGAATGGCCTGAAGTGAGGGTGTAGATATTAACTCGAAATGGTGGGCTGAACTAAAGAGAAGCAATTAGCCTTAATTATTACATCTGACGGCGGTATTTCC